AAGAGCAAAATCTGTTTAAAGCAGTTTGTATAAATCTCTGCACGAATTCTTGCTCATCAACACTCAGCCCTGTTGAACTTCATTGACTCTCAATTTCCTAATACTACCTAACGTTCAAAGCTCTTCATGCCTTTCCCATGTCTGTAGTCTCCCTGAGCCCAACAACATTCAGAACCCTTATGTTCCTCAGATTCTAGTCTCATGCCCCATGCCAACATCCTTCACTTCCCAATTAGGTATGTGTCTTTTCAGCCTGTATGGCCTTACACTCTGGTACACCCTCCCGAACTGCTTTCTTGATGTCTCCTTCTGTTTCTTCCTTTAGATGCTCCCTAAAACCCACCTCTTTGACCGAGCTTTGGGTCACTGTTCCAAGGACTCCTTATGTGTTCCGCATTATTTTTCCCGAATTGCACCTCTGTGAAATGCCATGGAATGATTGTCTATATTATAAGTGTTATATCAATGTAAAGAGTGTTATTTAAATTTAATTTGTTGATGCTTCAGAGGAGCTTGCTGTGCAATAGAATAGATCATCAATAATGAGAGCTGTTCCTTTTATTTTTCAAATTTTCTAACCGATCTTTGCATCTTTGAGATTCGCGTGCGTGCACTTACTGCCTTTTCACTGTGAATAATTGCTCTTCCAGTCTATAAAACCTTTTCCTATCATTGACTTCAAGTTTGGATTCACCTTCTTAAACTGTCTACTTCTCTTTCCCCCTTTTAAACCTACTCCTTTGACCAAACATAGTGACCACTTGGTCCTTTGACGTGGTGTCAGTTTTTGTCTCATTTCGAAGCACTATGGAACTTGTCTTGAGGATATTACATAAATACAAGTTGTTGATTATGTTTCGAGTTTGCAAGGAGCACTACATAGATATGATCCATATGTACACTGTCTGGCGGAAATGCCTTCAATAAATATTTTATCTGATACCCTGATAGATACTTTTTCATAGAACAAGTAACCTCTTGTTGCACCTGGAACACAGTGTACAGTAGAGTCATAGAGATATACAGCATGGATACAGACCCTTCGATCTAACTCGTCCATGCCAACCAGATATCCTAAATTAATCCAGCCCCACTTGCCAGCATTTGGCCCATATCCCCCTCAACCCTTCCTATTCCTACGCCTATCCAGATGCCTTTTAAATGTTGTAATTGTATCAGCCTCCACCACCTCCTCTGGCAACTCATTCCACCCTCAGCGTGAAAAAGTTGGTAATTCAACCTTGGGTGTGATTGAGTTTCAGCATACTTATCTACGGATTGTGTCGAGTGTTATTTAATTTTCTGGCAATGCTGTACTCATAATATACAAGATAGTTTGAACTAAAGAGTTCTATATTTGGAAATTGTCAACAGACTTGAGCAGATGTTTTAAGCTGGCACACCAGTGTAAACTTGGGAGTGCAAAACTGTTGGAGATGCCTTTAATTTTCTGATGAGTTAACTGTCCTCCCAGCTGGATGCAGAAGATCCAAGGCAGTGTTCGAAGGAGAGCAAGGGAATGCTTATTGCTGTACTAGGCAATATTTACAATTTGTATTTATTTATAAACATTAATATTTATTTATTCACTAAAACAGATATATCAGTCCCCGTTGCTTTTCTGTTTGTGGGATTTTGTTTTACATCAATTGGCTGCCATGGTTTCTATATTACAACAATGATAACTCTTCTAAAGTTCCTCTTTGGGGATAAAGCACTTTGGGACATTAGTGGTCATAAAAGGCACTATGTAAATGCAAGTCTGACAGACATTCATGAGCTATTCATTTTGAAGTGTGTTCCAACTGGATTTCCCCATCCCTGTTTGTTTCATACCAACCTTTTAACCTGATCACAAATGTTTCGAATAATTATTTGTTTTGATTTTTCGCTGGAGTGAAAGGGAGTTTTGAGGGAAATTCAACTTTTTAAACCAAAAGAAAATTTCCTTCCTCCTCTCTAAAGATATATTGTGTGACCTTATTACAATTCTTTAGAAGGTTAATACTGTGTTGTGATATTTTGGAAGGGTTAGGGTAACATTCTTAATTTTAGAGATAATTGAACTTAAACTTGAATATAATTTCAAGACCCACATACAGGTGGTTCTTCACTTACAATATAGGGTTATTAGCCTAGTGAAGAAGTTTATTGTTTGAAAAATCAGAATTGTTTCTATGTATTAGATACATGAAAGAGTCTTCTCCTGTCCCCTGTAGTGTGTTTAATGGCAAGGGTGCCATTTAATTCAACTGGATGTAGCTCCTGACCACCTTCCTGCCTTCACCTTGATTAAATCTGGAACAGGAATGCCTCTGAACAGTCTGCCAGGTGCCTGACTGATATGTGACACAGTGGGTTTTTCTGCAAAGAGCCAATGCTGCTATCTCACTGGCGCCTGAGACTGCTGTCGCTGCCGCAGAATTCTGCCCAGACTCTATTAGCCTGCAACTGCCTTCCTTCAAAAAACTATGTATATGCTGGGGGCAATTGGAGCTATCTGTGTGCAGCTGTGGGGTGGGGGTGGGGGTGGTGGGGGTGGGGGTGCGTCACAAGCCCCAGGGCAGTAGATTTTTCTGTTACATTGAAGAGTTGGGGCTGAGAGAGGCTCTGGAGCAGTAATAGCTCCATGAAGCTGGCAGTTGTTGGCAGCAGCATGGTGAAGGAACTGGAACTATTCCTGTGTTTAGATGCTGGAGTATGGCCTGGCTGACGCCGTACTGTCAGCCTCGATAGTACGTCACCTCATTTGGAAAAGAAAGCCAAGAAGGCTGTACTGGAAGCATATCTGAGAGAGATCTGTAATAGTGTGCCTTTTCAGTGAGGATTGTACTCATCGAACAATAGCACTGCTGTTGGCTGAGATTAGTCTCACTCTTTGAAAGAGAGGATTTGAAATCCCTTTTGAGGAATACAGACTCCTAAAAGTATTTTGTAACTCTGAGTGATTACAGGCATCAGAGTGGGCTGCTGAGAAAGTATATGGAATCTGCCTTGGTTGTGTCTGCTATTTAAATGTGTAGTTTGTGATATATTCAATTATAATTGGCCTGTTAATACATGTTTACTTCAGTTTAATTTTGTATGTTTAAAAAATAAGACAGAATGGACTGTTCTGCGACTTTACAATAGTAACATTTATGTTTAGTTTAAAACCCTGGGATTTTGTAGCCTTTTCTCTTAGTAAAACAATTAGTAAAAGAGTCACAGAGTTATATAGCATAGAAACAGACCCTTCGGGCCATCTCATCTGCACTGACCAGATATCCTAAACTGATCTAGTCCCATTTGCCAGCATTTGGCCCATATCCCTCTAAACCCGTCCTATTCATATACCCATCCAGATGCCTTTTAAATGTTGTAATTGTACCAGTCTCCACCACTTCCTCTGCCAGTTCATTCCATACACGTACCACCCTCTGTGTGGAAAAAGTTGCCCCTCAGGTGCCTTTTAAATCTTTCCCCTCTTGCCTTAAACCTATGCCCTCTAATTTTGGACACCCCTACCCTGGGAAAAAGACCTTGGCTATTCACTCTATCCATGCCCCTCATGATTTTATAAAGCTCTCAAAGGTTACCCCTCAGCCTCCGGCACTCCAGGGAAAATAGCCCCAGCCCATTCAGCCTCTCCCAATAGCTTAAACCCTCCAATCCTGGAAACATCCTTGTAATTCTTTTCTGAACCCTTTCAAGTTTAACAACATCTTTCCTATAGCAGGGTGACCAGAATTGAACGCAGTATTCTAAAAGTGGCCTCAACAATGTACTGTTATGCCACAACATGACATCCCAACTGCTTTGTTCAATGCACTGACCAATAAAGGAAAACGTGCTAAACCCTTTCTTCACTATCCTTTCTGCCTGCGACTCCACTTTCAAGGTACCATGCTCCTGCACCCCAAGGCCTCTTTGTTCGGCAACGTTCCCCAGGGCCCTACCATTAACTGTATAAGTCTTGCCCTGATTTGCCTTACCAAAATGCAATACCTCATGTTTATCTAAATAAAACTCCATCTGCCACTCCTCGACCCATTGGCCCATCTGATCAAGGTCCCATTGTAGTCTGAGATAACCTCCTTCACTGTCCACTACACCACCTATTTTGGTGTCATCAGAAAAATTACTAACCATACCTCCCTACATTCACATCCAAATCATTTATATAAATGATGAAAAGCAGTGGAGCCAGCACCGATCCTGCACTACACCACTGGTCACAGATCTCCAATCCAAGAAACAACCCTTCACTACTACCCTCTGTCTCCTACCTTCAAGCCAATTTTTTTATCCAATTGACTAGCTCCTCCTGGATTCCACATGATCGACGCTGGCTAACCAGTCTGCCATGCAGAACCTTGTTGGATGCCTTACTGAAGTCCATACGATCTTTTTTTTCACCTCTTCAAAAAAACTCAATCAAGTTAGTGAGACATAATTTCCCACGCAGAAAGCCATGTTAACCTCCCTAGTCAGTCCTTTCCTTTCCAAGTACATGTAAATCCTGTCTCTCGGAATCCCCTCCAACAACTTACCACCACTTACATCAGGCTTACTGGTCTGTAGTTCCTTGGCTTTTCTTTATAGCCTTTCTTAAATAATGGCACCACATTAGCCAACTTCCCGTCATCTGGAAAAGGTTTCAAGTTTTGTCTACAACAAAATGTACTGATCTCAAACCAAATTGTAACGGAATATTGATCATTTTGCCTGGCCTCATAACTGTCCATTTCAGCCCTTCCTGGCCATTGTTACTAAATCATGGAATCATTTAATTCCTACAGTGTGAAAGCAGGCCATTTGGCCATCGTGTCGACACCGATCCTCCAAACAGCTTTCCACCCAGAACCACCCCCTTACTCTATTCCCATAACCCTGAATTTCCCATGGCCAATCCACCTAATCTGCACATCTTTGGACTAAGTTAGTCTTTGGACTAGTTATTGATTAGTCATTTCAATTGAATGCATTTTTTAATTTTGTTTAAATTATTTTTCTTATAGATGCTTTGGACATCTGAAATATTATCAAATGGAGTGCGGCTTTCCATGACAAGTGCTGATGGTGAAGAAGGGTATCCTGGAGAGCTGAAAGTCTGGGTGACTTACAGTCTCGATGGAGCAGTACTGGCAATTAATTACAAGGCCCAAACAACCAAGACTACCCCAGTAAACCTGACCAACCATTCCTATTTCAATCTAGCAGGACACGTAAGGTCAATTTTCTTTAACAAGCACACTGCATTGGCTTGATCTGTTGAAATTTAATATTGAGGTGGCGGGAATGAAGGTAGGAGTCCAAGATGGTCCTAATAAGTCAGACCTTTTGTCCATTAGCCATTGAATTTCCTTCGCTATATATTTTCTGTTGCTTTTGGATTTATCTGAATTTCATGTCCCAGTCTTCATGGAGGTAGGATGAGGAATTGGTGTTATGGGGGCTCTAGAAATCTTGGAATCATGGAGACCCTGTCAAAATTTAAAATTTCTTATTCAGCAACCCAGGCAGCATCAGAGGAGCAGGAAAGTTGGCGTTTAAGGTCCAGACCCAAAACATCAGCTGTCCTGCTCCTCTGATGCTGCCTGGCCTGCTGTGTTCCTCCAGCTCCACACTGTGTTATCTCTGACTCCAGCATCGGCAGTTTTTGCTATCTCATTCAGCAACCAGCTGGATTGACAACTGCAAGAAAAACAGTGACAGGAGACCACAGCTGAGGACTATTAGGATGGTCTGTGAAGACTGGAAGAGCTTTGGGCTGGTGGGGAAGAGGTTAGGGAGGTGAGGAGCTCTATCAGCTCTGTAATCATCCTCATCTCAAGGAGCACAGTTCAAGAAGAAGACTTATCAACGTCTTTTCAAGTCAACTAGAAATGAGCAATAAACAGTTATCTTGCTAGTAATGTCCATTTTCTACGAATCATTATTTTAAGAACGATGTGTGCTAGAGGAACAAATTAGCCAGGGCTGGTGTAACATCAGAGTATCTGGGATGACCTCTTGAGAGGTGAGCAGCCTCTGTCTGGCTCCCAAACCAAGTTGTTCGGTCAAAAGAGAGTGGCAACTGTGTGTGTTGGGAATATCTGTGTCCACTGTATCTCCAGAGGAATCTCATGCAGTGTCCACAGGTGAACCTAAGTTCATTGGGAAAAGCCTGTAGGACTGAACCTGAGATTGGTTTAAAAAAGACATTTTGTTGAAGCTTTTAATCTTTCAGCCATCAGGACAATGCTGAAGTAAAGGAAAACAACATGTATGAGAAAAAAGAGTTGATTGGTCTGCAAGTGGACAATTGTAGAGGTGTTGCCATGGAGAATGTACCAGTTAGATATTGACTGATAGTTACATACCAGGCTTTGTTTAAATTTTGAACTAGGCATGTTGACTCTGGTCAAGGCATTTCCCTGAGGAATGAACCAGAAAGTGGCTGTCACCTGTTTTGTTAATTTGTAACAGTGTCAATGTATGGATCTGTTCTTTCTACAAGAACAGAGCCCTGGGTATTAATATATGTAGTTTCCAGAATGTGCTTGTCACACTGTGAGCCCAATTGACAATGTGAAGTTGGTTGTCACTGCAATTCTTACAGCACTTAGGATTATCTAGCAAGTGCTATGCAACTACAGAATTATCAGTTGTTCTAAAACAGCATCACCTAGTTGCTATCTTCACCTGTTGCTGGAAGGTCTGAGATATCTTACCCTTCCAGGGTAATCTGAGGTAGGTATTTTTTTTAGGAATAGAAGACATAACAGCAAGAAATGATCTGATCAGGGTGGCTATGATGCATCCTATTTTCATATTTAAATGTAGGTGAAAAAGCTAGTTCTGTCAAATGAGCAGAGGGGTCAGCACAACAATGCTATCGTTATGCATGTCCGGTATGGAGTCTTCATAAATGAAGAAATCCTTTACTATGTGAGTGAAAACTTATTCAGAACTGGTTGTAGTAATTCACCCGTTGCTTGCTCAGTTATAATTTTGCAGAACTGGTCATAGATAAGATAGGATGTGAAGGGACATTGTGTTTGTGGTTTTGAAGTTTTAGCATGCTGTTTCATGCTGCCGTGATGCAGTAACTGTGTGAGTGGTGTTCACCACAAGTAGGAAGCTGCCGTCAAATCAAAATCATCTTCCGCCTGTCAAGCACATGAGTAATAGAGTATGTGACTTCATTGTCACTGTGACACTAGGCGTTTAGGTTGCAGGTTGAAAAGTCGGTGGTCACACCAAACAGAATCTTTCTTCAAAACAAAAGCCAGAAGTAGCTGGAAATGCTGTCAGACCTGCTCAACATCTGTGAAGAGAAAAATCAGAGTTAACATTTCGGGTCCGGTGACCCTTCCTCAGAACTGCAGCATCCGCAGTTCTTTTGGTTTTTGTTTAGAATCTTTCTTCGTCTGTCTTCAATCTCATCCAAGCAGCCTGCACTTGCAAAACTCAAAACACAGGCTCCAATATTAGCTATGATTCTGTGATTGGTCAAGATTTGCTAAATAACCCTGTGTGCTAAGAATTATGCTGATAACTAGAAATGTCAATTGGGGTCACAGTATGACACACTTACATGTACTAAAAACTACATATATTAATGCACAGGGCTGTATTCTTCGCAGACAGAAAAAAAGTATACATATTGCATTTACATCTGTTTCAAATCAACATACTAGGTGACTGCCACTTAAATGCCTTGACCAATCAGTGTCAACATGTCATTTAAAATTTAAATAAAGCCCCCTGTTGGTCATCAATTAAATGTGAATTCCGCATGGGAACATCACTACCAATCATGGTTCACTAGCTAACCCAGCAGGACCCTTTCACATGCAGGTTTTGCATGTTGTTTTACCTATATATTGGTATTAACATGTAAACTGTTCTGATGAAACAAAATGAGAAGCTTGATGAAATGTCTTTTTTTCAACAAGATTTCAATTTTGTACAATAACCCCTTTAAGACCAAAGTGGACTGGGGAGTATTCTGAAAGAGGATTAATTAGTTTTCATGTGAGCTGAGGTTCCCATGAAGATGAACGGATCAGAAGAAATAGGAGGATATTCTAAAGTGTTGGGTTTTAACCTGTTTCTGTTTCGCAGAGCTAAACAACTTGAGAATTCATGTGAGGTGAAGCAAACTAATGTTTTCTCCAAATGGGGAAATTTTGTATCCGATTAGTTTTTGAACAGATTCTTACGTTTTTTTTTGTCTCTGTTTTATTCTTAGAGACCTATGATAGTGTGAGTTATACAGTTGACAAGGGCAAATTTAGGGACAGGGAGAGCAAAGGATTGTGGATTAGACAAGATCATTGCTGCTGTTTCAATTATGCCAGACCCCTCTGACCACTTAAAGGAGTCAGAGAAGGGAGTCACTGGGGACTCTGTGCCATCAGGACTGGCATGACAGGAGTGAGAGAGGGGTCCTATGCCTTGGCATTGTAAACTGTGTCCTGGGACTTTGAATGGAATACAGCTGTTCGTGATTGTTACACGATGACTAAAATTATTTGATGGAAAATGAGAGATACTTCAAAACTGAAATTAATTTTGGAAAGACCGTGAGATTGTGCGTGTCATTTTATGCAAAAATAATGCAAGAGTTTGCAACTATTTGACGTACTATTTTGTTGTACTGATGATTATAAAAATGACTTTTTGTTTCAAATATCTTGCATCCATTAATTAATGTTTGAAACACTTCGGCTTTGTCTGATTTGTTGTAGTAATGTTTTTAAAATGTAGTTCTGTCCACTACTTTCTGTTGACCTTATGGTAATTCTTTTCTTTTAAAAATTATTGCTGTTTACAGGGATGGTACAATAAATACCATGAAGTCACCTAGGAGGGACAGAGACCTCTAAGCTGGAAGCATGACCTGCAACTCTAGAAAGCTATAATTGATTTCCTCTGTTGGAAAAATTGCTTGCCACTAAAGGCAGAAAAGAAAAACTTTTATTTAAAATATATTTTAGATGTAGCTGAGGGTATGTGGGGCTCTAGTTAGCATCTCATTCAAAATTTGGCAGCTCTGGCTGTACAGCACTCCTTCAGTAATGTGTTGGATTGTTAGACTAATCTTTGTGTTCAAGCCTCTGGAATGGGGTCCAAGCTTTCAAGGTCAGAAGCATAAATGCCTCCACCTGAGCCACTGCTGATACCTAACAAATCAACCTTTTTGCAGCTGATTTTTTGTTTTAAAAAAAGCATTGCAGAAAACTTTGTTTTAACCAGCACCCTTATGAACCCAAAAAATTGGCAAAAATTGTGTAACTCAAATACTGAAAGTTTACTGAGCTACAGCAATAGCTGAGGGTGCAAGTATGCAAGCCCTGTACTGGTAAGTTTTTTATTTTGAGGCAAAGTTGCACTATTATTGAAGTGATTTATGCTATAAGTAAAGTATTACATTGATGTGTATACACCCTACAAAATGTTTCTATTACGTAGTGTGTGTTTTTACATTCATTATGTGGAGCTCTTGACCAGCCGGCACCCTCCTGGTCTCATCGGTGCCGATTAATAAAAGGTTTACTGTATTGTTCAGACTAGAGTAGAATCCCTACAGTATGGAAACAGACCATTCGGCCCCAAAAGTCTATACTTACTCTCCAAAGAGCATCCCACCCAGACTTACCTCCCCCTACCCTGTCCCTGTAGCGCTGCATTTCTTATGGCTAATCCACCTAACCTACACATCCCTGATCACTGTGGGCAATTTAGCATAGCTAAAAGAATAAATCAGTCACTTGCTGGGAACACATCCCAGGGTCATTTGTTGCCCAGTAGAGAAGCTAGACACCCCTCCCCACCCGAGTTATAATTCTTCCAACCTCTTCCATCAGGCAGAAGATACAAAAGCTTAAATACATGTACCAACATGTTCAAGAACAGCTTCTTCCCTGCTGTTATTAGACTTCTGAATGGACTTCTCAACTTTCAAATCTAAATGTGGATCTTGCTTTTTGTGCATCTTCTTTGTAGCTGTAACTTTGTATTCCTGGTCCTGTTCAATCACCCTATGATCTTTGTATGATATGATTTGCCTGTACTGCATGCAAAACAGAATTTTTACTGTACTAGGGTACATGTGACAATAATAAATCAAATCAGATTAATCAGCTGATAATATTCTAATCAGTGTTCAAGGGGAAATTTCTTGTGCTCTCTGACAAGGATTTGTCAGACAAGGATAAGTTATTCTGCTGCAGAAATATTCTGTTCCTCTGTCCTGTGGATATTTTACTGATTTGAGTTTCCATTTGTTCTTTCCAATATTGTTAACTCTTGGTTGCCTAACCTGACTTCCCTGTTCAGTTGTTGCATGATCTGTTCACGAACTGTTGCTAATCCTGAGCCAAAACGATGCTCAGGATGTGTATGGACTTGACCATTCCTCCTTATTATTCTTTTCCCCCAGCTGGAATAAACCTTGACATCCAACTGGTATGTCCCACATGTGATCCAGTCAAATCAGAGACTGAAATCTTGAACAATATCCACATGTGACATTGAACTGGAAATACTAGTTTTATTAATTCTTGCATTTGACACAACATTTTGCATTTCTATTCCAAATACACCAGGTAAATTGTAAATAATTTCATTCACAGAGAGAACTGTAACTTGCCATTTCTATAAAGCCTTTAATGCAGCAAAACAATAACTTGCATTTATGTAACAGCTCTTAATGTAATAAAAGATGTCAGGATGCTCCACAGGAATGAAATCAGAAAAAAAAATCACAGTAATAAAAATTACATTAGGAATGGTGACCAAACAGGACAGAGTGATAGAGGGTGGTGAGGTTTAAGGAGGAATTTTCAGAGTTTAGCATTGTTGTAGTATAAGGATTGGTGGCAGCGTTCCACATTGGATCTTCATGCATTTTAATGGGAACACCTTGTAAAAATCCACCTTACAACAAGCTGTGTCAGAACATTTAGGACTTTGCTAATGACTGAAGGTGGGGTGAAGGAAGTCAGCTGTGCAAAGGGCCAGAAATGAGGAATAGTGAGTTCTGATCATAGATAAAGTGGGATGAGATCATGGAATGTTTTGAGCATGAACTATAATACTTTCTTTCTTGAGGAATATATTCTAATATTAGAATTCTCAACTTTTCCTTTTTCCATTTAGGGATGTCCTAATATCTATGACCATGAGGTTTCTATAGAAGCAGAGAACTACCTGCCTGTTGATAAGACATCAATTCCAACTGGTAAGAATATGCAGGTTATTTTGTTTATATTTTGGTTCCTGTGTTAGGAAGTATTGAATATTTTCCATAATTAATCTAAGCAAAATGACAATAATGAGGTAAATATTGGGACTAAAGACTGATAAATCCCCAGTACTAGGGGGTTTCATCCCAGTGTTTTAAAGAAAATAGATGAGAAATTTTAAGTGCCCTGATCTTTTGGAGTTCTGTAGATATGGGAACAATTTATTTAGATTGGAAAATTGTGCCTGTTACTCTGCTGTTTAAGAAAATAGAGAGAAGAAACCAGGGAATTACATCTATTATCAGGGAATTGGTGGAGTACTTTATTAAGGATAAGGGGCTAGATATAAAGTGGCTCTAGCCAAGTTGTATTTTCATTTTGGAGTTGTGGTTGGGGTTGGGGTGGGGTGGGGATGTACGGGAGGAGCGAGTAAAATAGGGCAGGTATGTAGCTCACCATCTTTCCACCGACTCCTGAACTCACTCCTATGATACACTTGGGGTATACTGAAATTGGAGCCCACCACCCAACATCTGTAAGTAAATAATTAAGGGCCAACTGAACTTGAAAAAAAGATAAATTGATCCCACTATTCTCCTGCTGACACCATAATATGGTTGCTTGGGCAGGCAGGTGGGAGTGGGGATATACTTTCTAATTGGCCTGTTCAGAGATGTTATGACACAACTTTGGAGCAGCTTAGACTCGATCCTAGGTCTCCTGGCTTAGAGGGAGTGACACCACCACTGTGCCTCAAGAGCCTGTATTTTTTGAAAGTTTTTAAAACAGCAGGAAGGAACAGTGTGCTGTCTTTGCTCATCAGGTGCACTTTAGATAGTGCACCCCTCCCTTCTTACTTGCACAGCCTTTAAAACCCATCTCTTTACAATCCTCGCTGCCCCACCCCCCACTTCTGGTAGGTGGCACAACTTGTTCTCCGTCTGTTCAGCTTGCTGTTAACATTCTTTCCGGGTGGCATTGTGAGGGGTCAGCTCTGTATACTTGCACCAGCATAAACTACTGCACAAGGTTTTCTGGGCACTTTGACAACTTTCAGTGGATTACAGAGATCCAACATGATTTTTACAGAGAGTAGATCGTGCATAATGAACCTAATTGAGGTTTTAAAGGGGCAACTGAAATACTGGATAGGGATTACCTGTGGATGTTATTTGTGAATTTCTGGAAAACCATTTGATAAAATTCCCCCATAACGGACTGTTTGTTCGTTAAAGTTGAAGTTCATGAAATTGAAGGCATTATTATTAACCTGGTTAGGATTTGGATGAGCAGTAGGAGAACGGGCAGGTAGTTTATTTAACAGCACACGAAATGGTGGCTTGAAACGATCTGTTCTTGGGTCTGTTCAGTGTTTAGATGACGAGATTGAAAGCTGTATATCCACATTTGCCGATGACGCAAAGATGTCCAGTGTTATAAGCAGTCTTTCCAGGTGCATAAAGTCCAGGAAGCTCCTCCATAGCAGGACTTTGAGTGTATCTGCAGCACGTGGACTGTAGCAGTTCAAGAGGGCAGCTCACTTCCACCTTCTCAAAGTCAATTGAGGACGAGTAGCAAATTACCAGTGATGTCCCTTTTCCATGAATGAATAGAGAAAAATTTTTGATTAGTCTTTGATCATTTGATTGAATGAGTAAATCTATGGCCAATGTATTTCCGTACAGGCAAACTTAAGGTCATGAACATTTAGGACTAAATAAAAGGAGAGAATAGAGTATTTTTTTAAATGGTGGAAATCTAGAAGATGTTTTGGTCAAATGTATGTTTGAGGGCATGTTGATAGGAGGGAGGAGTAGGGTCCAGGTATCCACCTGAACAGGTTTTGAAATAACTAAGATGACTAATGCAAAGCTGACCTTTATATTTAGAGGACTAGAATTCAAGGAAGTAGAAGTCACACTTCAGCAGTAAGAAAACCATGGTTAAACCACACTAGGCTTACTGCATGCACTTCTGGCCATCTTGTCTATAGAATGACATGTTGGCTGTGGATTGAGTGCAGTGTAGATTTACCAGAATGATGGCTGGACTCCAAGAATTAAATTATAATGAATTATACACAAACTGTATTCAATGGAGGTTAAGAGGTGATTTAAGACCATAAGAAATAGGAACGGGAATAGGCTGTTTGGCCCTGCCTACTCCTGTCAGGAAGGATGGCATCTCAGGGGAGTATATGACTGACAGCCAGGTTTCTGGTACCATGTCTATCTCTACTGTAATGAGAAGTATGTCTGGTTCCAAGCAGTTGATTGTAATAGCGGACTCTCTATTCTGAGGCACAGACAGACTTTTCTGGAGCCAACAGAGATTTCAGAATGTTTTGTTGCCTCTCCTGGTGTCAGGGTCAAAGATGTCTCAAAGAGGGTGCAGAATATTCTGAAAGGGGAGAGTGACCAGCAGGAGGTCGTTGTGCAGGTTAGTACCAGTGACACAGGTAAGAAAAGGGATGAGGTTCTGCAGAGAGAATATAGGAAACTGGGCAGAAAGTTTTAAAAAGTAGGCCCTTGAGGGTAGTAATATCTGTCTAGTACTGGTGCCACCTGCTAGTGAGAATAGGAATAGGGGGATTGAGCAGATGAATGCATGGCTGACAAGCTGGTGCAGGGGTCAAGGATTCATATTTTTGGACCATTGGAATCTTGTCATTGGTAGAAATAAGCTATACAAGAAGGACATGTTCCACCTGAATTGGAAGGGGACCAATATCCTTGAGGGGAGATTTGCTAGTGTGACTGGGGAAGCTTTAAACTAGTGAGGGGGTGGGAAGCAGTGGGAACCAAAGCGATAGTGAGAAAAGGCTGATGCTGGTACAGTGGATAAGGGGAGCAAATTTACTGGTCAAGGCAGACAAGAGCTTGGTAGAGAACGAGGTAAGACTGATAAACTAAACTGCATTTACTTTAATACAAGACACCTGACAAGTAAGGCAGATGAACTCAGGGCATGGTTGGGAACATGGGACTGGGATATCATAGCTATTTCAGAGACGTGGCTCAGTGATGGACACGACGGACAGCTTAATGTTCCGGCGTATAGATGTTATAGGAAAGATAGAGGGGAGGGGAAATGGCATTTTGGTTAGGGATAACATTTTGGCTGTACTTACGGAGGATATTCCTGGGAGATCATCCAGCGAAGTTAAGTGGAACTGAGAAATAAGAAAGGGATGGTCACCTTGTTGAGTTTGAGTTAGAAACCCCTAACAGTGAGCAGGAAATTGAGAAGCATGTATGTAAGGAGAGCTCAGATATCTGTAAGGATACTACAGTTGTAATGGTAGGGGATTTTAACTTTCCAAACACAGACTGGGACTGTCATAGCATTAAGGGCATGAATGGGGAGAAATTTAAGTGTGTACAAGAAAACTTTCTTATTCAATATGTGGATGTACCACTAGAGAAGGAGCAAAACTTGACCTTCTGTTGGCCGATAAGGCAGGGCTAGTGACTGATGTGTCAGTGGGAGAGCACTTTGGGGTAAATGATCATAATTCCGTTAATATTAAAATAGTTATGGAAAAGGATAGAACTGATCAATAAGTTAAGGTTCCAAATTGGAGTAAGGCCAATTTTGACAGTGTTAGCCAAGAATGTTCAAGAGTTGATTGTGGGAAGCCAATCGCAGGCATAGAGATGGTTGGGAAGTGGAAGGTCTTTAAAAATGAGATAACAAGAATTCATGTTGTGGCTATACAAGACCATGGTGAGGCCACTTTTGGACTACTGCATATAATTCTGGTTGCCGTTCTACAGGAAGGATATTGTGAAACTTGAAAGGATTAAGGAAAGATTCACAAGGATGTTGCTGGGGCTGGGGAGTTTGAATTATAGGTAGAGGCTGAATAGACTAGAGCTTTTTTCCTGGAGTGTCAGGTACTGAGGGATGACCTTTATAAAATCATGAGGGCCATGGATAGGGTGAATAGCCAAAGTCTTTCTCCTAGGATGGGGGAAGCCCAAAACTAGAGGGCATATGTTTAAGGTGAAAGGGGAAAGATTTAAAAGTGACCTGAGGGGGTAACATTTTTGTGCAGAGGTGATATGTGTGTGGAATGAGCTGCCAGAGGAAGTGCTGGAGGTGGATATACTTACAACGTTGAAAAGGTATCTGGATGAGTACATGAATAGGAAGAGTTTAGAAGGGTATGGGCCAAATGCTGGCAAACAGGAGTAGGTCAGATTGGGATGTCTCGGCATAGATGAGTTGGACCAAAGGGCCTGTTTCTATGCTGTATGATTCTATGACTCTATAACCCTTGATTCCCCGATTGATCAAGCATCTATCTATTTCAGCCTTAAATATACACAAGGACTGTACCCCATAGCTCTCTGTGGCAAGGAGTTCCATAGATCTCAACCCTCTGAGAGAAATTCTTCCTTATCTCAATCTTAAATTGTCACTCTGTTATTCTGAGATTATGCCATCTGGTCCTAGACTCTCCCATGAGGGGAAGCATCCTCTCTGCATTTACCTTGTCAAACCCTTAAGATTCCTACATGTCCCAATGAGATCACCTCTCATTCCTTTGAATTCCTGACCTGTTTAGCTTTCGCTCATAAGACAACCCTTCTTTAACATATTTGTGAAGTTTCACTGAATCACCTCCAATGAAGTCATATCTTTCCTTAGAAATGGGGACCAAATCTTGGAAGTTTCTAGACATATGTGTGAAATTAGGAAACAGAGGATGGTAAAAGTTTGGAATTCCCTTTTGCAAATGGCAATTGATGCCCAATCATTTGTTCATTTTCAGTCCGAGTTTGATAGATTTCTGTAAGCCAAAGATACCAAAAGATACATGTTCATGGAGTTAGGCGATGGAGTAGCTAAAATCTTATTGAATAGTTTGCAAGATTAAGTGGTCTACTCCTGTTTCTATGTTATTAATGGCAGGTAGAAATACTGAATATGTACTAATGAAGTGAAACTGGAGAGGCGTAACTCTGAAACTCAGTGGTGTTTGTCTGTTTCT